GTGGTAGCGAGACGTGTTGTGGACTTGCTCGATAGCACTCGGGATCCCGAGCATGATAGTAACTGCAAGGCCGAAAAAGGCACCAAACGTATGGATGACCATAGAGCCACCGGCATCAGTAATTTTGAGTTTTTCGAGCACGAGGTACTCGTTTAGTCCGTAAAATATTATTTCAAGAAACGTCATCCACACCAACTGTGTTGGGGTTATTTTACCCAGAACAGCTCCGAAGCTGATCAATACGGCAGCGGCAGCAAAATCACCATTGATCATTGCTGGGATATCCAAAAGCTTCGTCTCAAAATGACCACCGCCAATCTGGTGAGCCATGGTCACGACGATAATACCCCATTGAAGTGACAGGACCGCAATGACAAAATTAAGGGACACGGCACTAAGACTATATTTGCGCAAGAACGTCATAAGGAAGCCAAAGCCGATGTATATCATGACGTGAACGTCCATGTACATCGTGTAATAGCTCATTGTGTCAGTCGAGTTGGCATCATTATGTTTTGGACTGGGCGATTCGAATTTGAGGGCGAAAAAGATCAAACAAACCACTTCGAACAAGATCACGGACAGCTCAAAGCTCCTTTCCACCACCGATGCATTTCTGCGGCCAGTAGGCGTGCTCAAAGCGTTATAGTCGTCATCCAAAGGTGCAGTAGAAACTGAGCTCCAGACTTTGTCAACTAAAGCCGAAAGTCGATTAAGGCTCATGATATAGAAAATAGTGGGTGAGCTCTAGAATGGAAATTGCAGAATGACATGCAATCTGCGCATAGTCAAACAGCACACACATTCTAATGACTCCTATTCTTAGTAGATATTCGAGGACCAACCGAAACGCAGCTAAGTTACATGTACTTGCAGTTATAGAACATCTGTTGTTTCGATGGTGCGCCTACGTTGAACTCGGACATAGATTAAATGGCCTAAAGAGTGTGCAAAGATTGCCACATCCAGTCTGTACTTAAGAGACGAGGCTGAAACTACATTGTGTTCAGAAATTGTGATCGAGATCTAAAGATTTGCTGCACCAGACACATTGCATGACGCGTGCGAGTCTTCGTTCGAAGACTGACTTCAAGTATCAAGGACATTTTATGCTGCCTGCGTATGGGTCTATCCATTCTTATGGATTAAATAAATTGGAATGTCTTGATTTACCACATTTATAAAGGAACATCAGATTGTGTGTGTCTTGTGTTGTGTCAAGAGAACTTTTATATTTTGAGCATGTTCTCTCAAGTTAAGAAATAGCTCGATAAGGTAATCCAAGTACTCTAAAGCAGCATGCAATCGTGCCATTGTCTAACGAAACTGCCAATAAAACTTGGCAAGGCGATATTTTTGAGACACCATGATCAAGTGATGTCCAATGCAGTAATGAAATTCCTGAGTACAATAGCAATAAGTTAAAAATATTAGCATGTAACGTTTCACGCACTGTGAAAGTCATCAGCTTTCACAGTCATCTTGGCTTAAGAGAAAAGCGAGATTATGTTCGTAGCAACCAAGATGAATAATATCATTTGATATATCGAGGCAAAGTGTCGTAAAAAAAATACTTTACTCACTGCAAATGTTGGTGAGTTTCATGACCGTATAAGCTAGAGAGCAGGATATCCCTAAGAAAGTGAGAACAAAATACTCAATCTTGCTATTACATATCAGATGCTTTAAATATTCGGGCGTATCGTACGACTAAATATGTCAAATGTGCAATTGCAGCGAGAATTGATACTTTTCAGAGTGAAGGAAGACCTGCTGATCTAAGACTGTTGGTGCAATTACCGATCGTTTTAATATAGCTATAATTCATATGTAAGTTTGGTTTGTATTACGCGGTAAGGAAGACGCAGATGTATCATTTGCGCCTACTATCGCAACGAGAAAAGCCGACATCATCTTCTGATCTTTTAAGACATGTACCCTCGGTGTCAACGACCCTTGAACGACTGTGATAAGCGTTACAACGACTTAGTGTAGATGTCGGAATCTTATTTTAATCTATTAACATATTTGCGCCGGTATTAACAACCAGATACACCATTGTAGCGGAGCATACGTGCCGCAAACGCGACCAAAAAGGTCACGATAAACAGCCAGGCATAGATATCAATATGTAAGATTCTTCATTTAACTAATGAGGCGAGCTGTGGTGGATATGTCAACTCAAACTTAGTTCATTCAATTCAGGCTTCTTCTCCAACGCATTGACTATCTGCAGCTTTATAACTTGTCCTGTAAGAATAGCTGATTTTGTCTGTCAGAAAACGCCACACGTCCTGCATTAAAGTAAAAATCGTCAAATGTTTGTCATAATTATAACACCATCTTCAGGATGTTTTTCTAAGGATAACAACAGCAGGCAGTGAGTAGAACTAACTGCATTATCATAGAGCCGTGAGCTCCGAACCTGTTGCTCTTTAGTATCATGGCGCCGCTTTTGATGTCTATCTGAGAGCCAAACTGATGATTGCTCGCTGACGACTTACTTACCTGGAGCATAGTCATTATTCACAGATGGGCAGAGATAAAATATGGCAAGCAATCCGGATAAAATTGGAGGCATTATCAAGCGATCAAAGAGGCGGAGAGCAATGGCTCTTAACGTTGTCGACCCCTGAAGCTAGCAGCCACTATTAAAGACTAATTTAGTCAACCTATTTGATCCTTTGATCGCGTGATGGAATGCAACAGCCAAACGTAGAATTTTACGAATGTGATGGGGAGGGAGCATTTTTCGTGAAAAAATTGCTTCATACGACGCCATTAGTTCGATACTTCGGTTAGTGTATATCTACAAACGTCGAGTCCATGGCAGAGAAGACGATATATGCCTTATATCTCGTTTGATGAATTTTCTGTGGTATATAAAGCAAGTATTGTCAGTGAGATAGAGTTATTGCAATAAAAATAGTGTATACTTCATTGAAAAATGCAATTCAAGAACTTTCTTTGGTCGTGCTGATTGCATACAGTTCTGTGGGAGTGGGCGAAGATTTAGAGCTGTGAGCGCATAGTGGCCTGTTAGATGAGCAAGATACTATAATCTTGCTTGGAATTTTGCTCATGACATTGGCTTTTATATTACAAATCGTGTCAGGTTTACCGACCACAATCTCTCGTTATGAGCCATATGCTCACCTTTGACGTCATTGTCATATCGACTCTCAAACGTCAGTATTGATTAGCTCTTTGAGAATGAATCCATCCTGTAACCTGCATATACGAGCTATTTGACAAGATAAGCGCATTATGCATACGTTATCTCAGCTCGAAGAAGTGCAATTATAAACCAACACAACAAAAGAGGTGTTGTGAAATAGCCATTCAGTAAGGACGACAGGTTACAACGCATTGAAATTACTGGGTTTACGCACGCTGGACCTAGATATCAGTATGAAATAAGCGGATGCACTAAAACGTTGGTCAAACATCTTCAGACACAGTGGCATTGCGCGCTTGAAGCGGTGCTTTTTTTCATTTTGAAGGCAAGCTCAAAGTTGCATATTGCATCGTCCAAAACAATGTGCGCATGCTCGAGACTTTCAAGGACGAGCATCCTTTTTATCTAATTATGGAGTCTTGCTTTGAGAGAACAGTAAGCGAGCATAAAGCTTAATTGGATCTTAAATTTGTCTTACGTTCTCTCTATCTAAGTAAAGGCTCGAAATAAGGAAATTTGTGAGAAGAAGGCCATAGCATTGTGTAATTTAAAATACTTTCGAGGAGCAGAAAGCAAAATAATCACTATGAGTTTTGGATTACTTCAAAGCACTGTCGTCAGTACTGGTACGTCAGTATCGCATCACTGTCCCCTTACTTTTGTATCTCTACATCACTTTGACATCTTGAGATTAAAAAGTAGAATTTGCATGTTAACAAAGTTTTAGTTGCGGTGAATATTCGCGTGATCGACAATTATTTGTGGTTTTGGTCCCAAATTTCAGGTTATTCTTGTTCATTCTTAGACCGAAATCGAACATGCACGTTCTGTGTTGATCTTACAGTAGCCTCTCTGTCACGAGCAGCTGATCTAAATAAACTGTACAAGAAAAAATCCAATAAACACACTCCATACCAAAACGTACATGCGTGAAATGCGCAAGGTCAAACTTACGGCAGACATTGAGAGCCGCTTGCAAAAATTACTTCTTTCTCCTCCTCTCGTGGGTGGGTTGGAGGTTATACTGTCTGTATATATGTCAGACTGTCACGAAAAAAACAATTGCTTCTCATATCTGAAATATTCGAGCAACACAAAGAACTAAAGAGTAAATGAGAGTTCAATACGCAGTACAACTAGCTATTGCCGTCGTTGTAATGTGCGTCGACGCTAAGACCTCAATAACAAGCGCCAAGATAATCAGACAGTCGAATTCTTCGTCATCAGCTCTTCCAACTGCTGACGATAACGGCAGCACCTTTGAACTTGTCCAAAGTGACGAAGAGAGGTTTTGGCTAATTCATTATCCGTCGGATCTACTGATGTCAAGCAATTGGTTCATCAATTCGGTATCTAAGTTTTTCAAGATGATTCATTACCCACCGAATAGCCTGTTGAAATCCTGCTTACCTCAATTCACAAGTTGGGAAAATTGGATTTCATTAACTTCCGTCAATTCACAAGTTGGGATAGAATGACCGTTTACAAGTTCAATTTTGTATATGAGTATTACAAAACGACGCGTGGAAATGCGGCATCAAGAGAAATGTACGAAGCACTTTCTCAACAATCCGATGGTCCGTCCTTGCTTGCAATATTGCTCCATAATGGACAGGACGAGCCACTCATCAAGGACAGTTGCAAATCTGTCGAACTAGCGCAATTTTCGCAATGGGCTGAAGATGATAGTAAAAAGCTCGAAAACATTTTCAATTTCTTGGCTAACGATTATAATTTGATTCGGGAAAGAAAACATGAAATGATGATTTTGGCGGAGAGAGTGGATGTAATCAAAAACATCAAGCAGTCTTATAGCGACTTTCTCAGAAAAGAAAAGTAGGCTGTTGGGCCCATTGATGTAGCGAAGGATCGGTCCTGATTTCATTTCGCCAGGACCTACGGCTTTGATCTTATCGACATCTCGTAAATGTGAAAGCTGTCCCCCAGCCATTTGTTTCCACAAATCAATTTTAATACATGTATTCGTGCCTCTTCTTCCTCTCTTCTATCCGTTTTACTAGATTGTGATAACAGAAACTTTAACAACACTCTGTCACGTAAAAAATGGTAGTAAACTCACTAGATACTTCAATTTCACTTTTAAAGCTCCGAGAAAGACGCTGCTTACCAGGAGAATAAGCTTTATTCAGTTTTTATGCACAAATGCGCCTTGCAAAAGCCGCATACGCCAACAGAATGAGTGGCTTTCGAGAATGGCGATCGAATAATTCCCTGAATAGTTATATTGGATTTTGGTCATCTTCCATGCAACTGGAGACAAAGCTTAATCTAATTGCAAGGCAATCAATGGATGTAAACTTCCTGGGCTGTAAACACATTTGATACAATTGTATCATATCAATATTGTACGATTGTTCGAAATTCACATTGTAAATATTCATTGGTACCGGAATATCGGTATTTGTTGAGAAATGGTAATGAAGAAGGACCCATAACTTCTATAAGAAAGCCAAGATACCCATAGAAAAAAAGGAAACAAAAATACGAGCACATGGGCCTATAAGCAATATATGGATGTTCGAATCGTAATTCCAAGAGCATATATTAAAAATACAAGTCACTTTCATTCGCATAGTGGCAAGAACAAATTTGACCTACAGTCCGAAGCACGAGCTGATTGCTTACGCGAAGACAAACCCTCATCTGTCTCACCAAATTCTTGCTTTGTGGTAGGTACTATCCGAGTTCGGCAAGACCATTGGTCGTTCGGCGGTTACCCGCGTCGTCTCAGCGCCACCCAGTCCCACTAAACATGAACGTGAGAGCCCCGATTGAGCTGTCTTGCTGGGGGTTGTGCGGCTGTACCAAGCCTCCGCATTTCTAATCAATGTCATAATGGACTATTCGATCTCTAAGACGTCTCGTAATTGTGGGTGCAGAAGTTTAAGCGGTGCTACAGCATACGTTTACGTACTGCACAAGGCAAATCCGGGTCAGTTGATCTCGCCACGGTCGACATCAAGCGCCGCGAAAAACAGCGTCTGATTGAGAGTATGAACCACAGGATGTCTTACATTTCGATGAGACCAGCCTCGATTTTCTCAAGCCGCCCATCCAGTCCCTCACAGCTAGCAAGATCCGTGGGATCAAGAGGAATGCGGCGCGTATTACTGTCGGTCTGTGTTGCAATATGGCAGGTAACGAGAAGATAAATTCCGTCTTCATCCACAGCAGCTAGAAGCCTTTCTGTTTTTGGGAGTGAGCGGGGAATGCCTTGTTATCCAGTATCACGCGAGTAAGAAGTCATGGATGTAGCGCGTTGGTTTTGGAGTCAATCCAACGTTGCAAAGCTGAAGGGTGCTGCTGTTGGTAGACAACGCGTCGTAAAACAATGGCATCGAGCTCCCAAACGTCCGTGTGTTTTCTACCGCCCAACACGACATCTTTCCTGCAGCCACTCGACGCCGATATCATTAAGAAATCCAAGTGTAGATATAAGAAGCTCCTTGTACGCTGGGTGATTGACTAGCTCGAGGTGGACGACAAGTCTCGCGCATGGACGTTGTGACAGCGATCAAGTTTTCCGTTGATGCATGGGCTTTTCTAGTGAGATCACCATGCGAAATTCTTAAGCCATATGGTATAATGCCAGCACCCATGGCTGCTCTTCTCAAGTCGTCAAACGACTGTATCGATGCCAATAATATCGTCGAGCTTAGCGCTCTCATTCGCCATCTCGATCTCGCCCAACCCTCTCGACGCTAACACCAACATTGACACGAAGCAACTGAGGACACCACCATGTCGACCAGTGATATAGATGGCGATGATGTCAATGATAAGATAAATGGAGAAGATCGATTGGCACTTTTCCGACCGCAAATAATAAGTCGCGTGCCATTACTTCGTTGCCTACGCATTCGCGCATAATCAAAGTGGGCACGACATTGCTGTGGTTTATGGCGCATGCAAAAGCAATGCTGTAGGCGGGATTGCAACAGCCAAAGATCACGGCATTCTTCACTTTGGAGGTGGTGGTATAAAAAGTCTCTTCCCCTTAGACCCGCAAGATCGTATCTGCTGGGATACCGTACCAGACTCCCACATGTGACCACCCGCTGGTTGCGCAATTAGCGGGCGGAGGTAAATCTTACTTAAGTAATGGCGTAAGTTGTACCAGTGATTGATTGACCTGGTCATGGCTGCAAAATCACTCATAAAAAATTGCATACTGTTATTTTATATTTTGCTTCAAAATCTGCCAGCTGAGTCACTTTTTACCACAAAGCACCGTCTTTTGATGATATTCTGTACAACCCGTTACAAAATCACGAGCACACCGATGATGTCCGTATATTGCAAGCAGACTTTATATTCAAGGTTCTTAGTTCGTTATTCTGTGCTACCTTAAAGCCTACTTAATGCAATCTGACTTATTTAGACCAATAAATGACTGCCATCTTGTCTGTTATAATCATAACAGTAACTGTGATCATCAATGTAATTCTTATGACGTCTATCCACAAGAATTCTGCGGTGTTATCTCACCACTTCCACTCACAGCTAATTTCTGATGTGCGTTGTCGCTGTTTTGGTCTTGACACCCGATGCCTTCTAGAATCGTGAGGGTCCTGGTTCCGAGTGCCTTTGTTGGCATATCTGTGAGTTAATCGATTTTGCCGATCTTCAGCAATTCATGCTGAACGATCCCTCGGATGAAGAGGCGCTTGATGTTTACGTGCATTGGGCGAGCGTGGTAGCCTTCGTTGCTCGCCAAAGATATAGCCCCTTGGCTGTCTTCCCGTATTTGCGTGCCTCCCACTCGTTCATGACCCATGTATTACAGAATTGCGCGCGTCCAGAGTGCTTTCTGCGTGCATAAAGTGAGAACAACATACTCGGTTTCCGTGGAGCTCAGTGCGACTGCTCTCTGATACTCCGACTTGAACACAACATAATTTGATCAAATAACCTGGTACAGACGGTCTGCCATCCATGTTACTGCCCCAGCCTACATCCGAAAAGGTTCAACCACCACTGTTCCAGCTCAAGCTTGGAAGATGACCCCGTAATGACCGATCGACCTCAAGCTGCGTAGTACTAGAAATGCGGCGTCTCAAAGCTGTTGTCTGGAATTTCCGAGAAAACGAGACAGACAGATGCAGTTTCCGAGCAAGTACGCGTTGCAAAAAAATCTGACATCCAGTTAGAGAGCGGTATGGTTCTGAGAGTATCTCCGAACGCCTAGCTTTTGTACTTGGTGACTGTGATACACACGGATTGTCGACATCCTTGAAAAAATGTTTGGCCAAATAGCTCAACCACGCCGTCAATGTAGCGTGTCTCTTTGATCATTGAGGTTGCTGCTGTCTTTTCGTGATTGAATAACCTTCATGCCCAAGATAGAATGCACCATTTCGAGATCCTCCATCTTCAAAATACTCTGTAGCATCACCTTGACCTATAAAATATCGCCACTCGTCTGGGCTCCACTGATCATCTCATCGACATACAGGCGTACTTTTTCAAAAAATCTAAAGAAGACCTCGCGTAACTTTTTAACATTACACAAGCCCTTAAATAGGTTTCTTCAAGTAGATGCATCGATCCATCTCACAGCATCCGAAGTCTTTCTTCTAAAAGATTTGATCAAACATCTTGTTCCACGCAGTTGCAGCTAGCTTGAGTCTATATATGGGCTTGTTTGGCAGAACGCGAAGTCTTGAGCTCCCATGACACCATGCGAAACATCCATGTAAAAAAGTATGACAACATTGTTGAGAAAGGCGGCGTGAACGTCCAGCATTTCCATTTTGTAGTCAGATACCGCACAAATAGTCAGTACAACCTGAAATGAGTTCATGTTGGCCATCGGAGAATAAGGTTCGCCGCACTGCTGATTAAATCCCTGAACTACCAATTGTGGCTTGGAACACACGACACTGCCATTCTGGACCCATTTTTGGCAAAGCCCCAACGGTGTTCATTCGTACACTTTCTACATCCTCGTGGGTCGAGAGCCCATGAAACAAGGTTCGAGATCTTGTTCTGGTGGTGTGACATTAGTTCGGCGTCCCTCACCTCGCTATTACCTACGCGTATGTGGCTGGCAAGAGTATTTACAGCGTAAGCGAGAGCTGCTTCGGCTATCATGCTGTCACTTTCTTTCAGATTATCTTTGTCATCTAGACTGCTCCAAACATCAACGTCGCTCCGCGCATATGCGCAGGGCGCGAAATTTAAGGTTGGAATTTTGGTTTCTCATTCTGTAACGATTCAGTAAAGTCTGGTATACCAATAGCTCATCCAGTAAATCTTTAGTTAAAGCTTTCGAAAATTGTCAGGGCGATAATTGGAGCCCTTTACTTTACAATGATTCATGTCGGGCCCTTCCACCTCCATCAAGACCGCTGGGACATCTTCTTATTTTACTTCAACACCATAGGCTCATCTCGATTTATCTTGCGTTTCGTCGGCCCGGTTGCTATATCTTCATTGTCGTTCTTGGTAACGTGTATTACTGTTTCTTCTTTGAACAGATGTGATTTGTTTATGCCGCTTCCATCACGCCCATCCAGCTCCATCAACCATCATACAAAAACACTTTTGTTATCCAAAGCGAAAACACTTGGTGTCTTTGGCATACACAAGAAACGTACATCTAAGCTCGTAGCTTCCACCTTCGTCCTATTCATATGACTATTGTGTGAGATCTCATAAACAGGAGGTAATCCATCAAAGGCTTCACTTTAAATCCCAGCTCATGGGGATGGGATTTACGTGCACTGTGTGAGGGAGATTGGTGATCGCGTACAATGTAGTACTGATCTCCCCTGCCCATCAACAGGTCGGAACACACTTGCAGTAGGGCATGCTCCGTGCCTTTTACGTGATTGTTCCATCAATTCAGGAATTTGAAGGCCATTAGAAATCGGACCCTTCCTCCTTCCCCGAAAATGAGTACATCTATTCTTTCACCATACTTTGGTTACAGCCATGGTGTACATTATCGTTCTACCTGAAAGGGACCCACTCCTTGGTCTATTGGGAGCTGTAAGGTACCGCACGTTATGCACGAGTCCGTTTTGCAGTCATTGGTTGGCGATCATCTATTTTACGAGCTCCGCTCCGTTAATCGAGCGCGGGCACTTGAAAAAGGCTTCTCATTGTTTTTTGCTGGAAGCTTTGAACATATTGATCTACTCGGAAGTTTCATTCTGCTTTGCTAAGATATGCCAGCACATATCGTAAAAATGTCATCCACAAGCGATAAAAGTATACTTTGCTCTTCTTTTGAAAGCATTTCCATTATTCTCATCAGGTCAATGTGCACTAGTTTTCAATAGGCATGAAGTCTACATTACAGAGCGTACTGGGTGCTTTAATCGTCTGTTTGCCCTCCCTGCAGCCACCAAACAAGTTTTTTACACCTTGTTTCAACGCATGCACACCGCTTACAGAAGTCTGCGTCTTCATCAATATGTCCTCGCTTAGATGTTACGTGTGCTGTGGTACTGATCACACTTTCGAGTTTGAACGTATCGTATTTCCTCTTGCTGACAGTGCAGCGTATAAGCTTAACCGTCCCTCGTCCCGGTTGCCACATCACATCTCGTATTCAAAATGGTAAACGAAGTTCCGCACATGATCCATGTTCGGCAAGCTTTCCCACCGCCAGTAAACGTATGTCAAGTCCGATAATTAGCAGCATCTCAATCACATATATGCGTCTTCTATCTAAACCAATAATTTCACCGTTGCGGATCCTTCAACGTTTCGCTTTCTGCCATCTACAATTGTTACCTCAATGCTAGCTTAATTTAAGACGCTTGTAATCGACCAAGTCACTTCTGTGAGGGGTCATGTTCAACGTTGCGCCACAGTCAATTAGCCAACCGACTGATCCTTTCCCATCCACAGCAAAAACTGCATCGCTCTAGGTGAAAGATTCCTGGAATGACTCCCAGCTGGACAAACACGTTAAATATGATCTATATGATCATATTTGGAGCGTTTTTCCTAAACACCACCGTACTTTCGCGGCGCGTAGCTCTTGAGACAGCATCCCTGTCTGCCTCCGAGTCGTCCGTTGTTTTCAAAAGGTGAAACGCTTTATCAGTGGCTTCCTTCTTCGGTATTATCGTATTTTAAAATCATGGAGACGAAGAATCATCCTGACACGGTTAACACGGTGTACAGAGTGAAGTAATTGTCGAAATTGTGAAGTGTTTTCTATAACGAATTGCCGACTCAATCTTGGTCTGGCGCTAAGATTTCAATGCCCTGGGAATTGATGCCCAATGCCAACTTAATGAGTCACGTCTTATCTCGCCCTCTTCCTTTGCGGCAGTGACGTGCCCAGAAGCCCTTTTCTTTTTAGGACCATCCTCATTTTGGACTCCCAAACGCAAGTATTTACCATCCCCCTGGAGGACTTCGGTGCGTTTGATAGTCATGGCGGTGACGGTGTCGCGACGCGAGGCTTAATTGTGTCTTCAACTAGTTGAGAATATGGCAAAAGTCGAGGTAAATAAATATTGTTTCCGGTCCTTGGGAATGCTCCTTGTGCTACACCTAAGCCTACCAACTATTTAAACCAGTAAATTAATATCCAATACGATGACAGTATTTGTGACGTCACTATAATCCTTCTCACGTCATCCACACGCGTTCAGGATCTCAACAATGTGGCTTGATGATTATTGTGTCAACGACTCTTGAACGACTGTGATAAGCGTGTCAACCACTTAGTATAGAGATTATCAATAAAGAAAAGCATAGCGCAGGATAGGTGCTGCAAACGTGGTCAAAGAGGTCACAATAAACAACTAGGCACAGATATTGCAGCGAGGCTGCCGTAGTTTTTGCTTAGAGGTAGCTAAGCTAAGGCCACCGACCATACGTTCTCTACCAGAACCAATACGAGTGTAGCGGATCGGAATCCGCTACCTTCAAAAGTACCCGAAATCTTACGCAAGGCAAATAAATTCTTCTGTGTAAAATTGAAACTGTATTTCTCTGCTTTATTTGAGGCAGAGCCACCTATATTTAAACCTTAGCTTTTCCTAGTTAAATAGTAAAACCTAATTAATGTGCATAATTACTGGCAGTCCCACCACTAAGTGGCTTCTTGTGGCGGTGTAGCCACACCATTGTGTGATTACACCAACTTGTGTAATTCACACATGTATGGACACACGACCCGCCCTTTCATACAAAGGTACGTGTCACCCCGTTAGACTCTCCCCCATCAAAATTGTGAATACCCATAATTCACATATAAGTGTCGCTTAATACGAGTCTCGCGTGTCTGAGATCACCGTTGCCTCCTTGAGATCATCTTTGAACATTCTCTGCTCGATGAGCCTTGTGTCTATGGCACGAAAGACACCCAGCCTAGCTGGCTCTGAGGGCGCCCGCGGGCAAAGCCCTTCTTTTTCTTCTGTGCGGGGTGCATCTCCAGACAGTAGGTCCGCTGCTTTACGGGAAGCACTTCATAAGCCCTCGACAGCCGAGCGCCCCACACTGCGCCCGCCCCGAGCTACGGATTTCCTCGCCGATAATTCGGAGGAAGTCGACTACGAGTCGGATAATCCTTTCCCTAACCTCTCGACTTTCGGGGGGTATGGTATTGTTACCGATCGCCTCGACAAGGCACAGGAGCAGCAGTTGGAGGCTGCCCACAGGGCGACTCTCATGCGCTCGTATCCACGTTCGGTTCTAGATCCCCGTGTGAAATATGGCACCCACTCGGTGGATCACGCTACTGAAGCGAAAGATGGGCTCATTCGATCGCTAGGCGTCTTTGTAGTCGGAGCCCCGGCCACTAAACAGACTGAGCTTAACCTGCGAAAAGCTCTCCGAGCTTGCTTCTTGGTACATCAAGAAATCCCAATGGATAGGTACCGCGCTTGACTTTGAGCTCAAAGAGAAGGTGGTCCGGTATGCAATGCAAATTACTCCTGTGGTACTCGCCCCTGGCAAAACTGCTGCGGATGGTGAAGAGCTCTTTGAGCGTTGGGTGCAGCGGCACCGGGAACTATCCTCGCTGTGTACCTTACAGTGAAGCCACAAGGAAGTGGAGGCGCGCGTTGAGCGCCATCTTTGATTTAAGTTTGCCAAATTCAAGGCGCAACGCCGTTTTCTGCATATTGTCGCCCTGTGACACATGAAATCATTCATCGCGCTCCAGGAGCTCTATAGTATCTCACATGGGTTTGTCAATGATTAAAGCAGCTCAGGGCCATCTTTCTGGGGTCGCCTACCGCTGTGCACAGGTCCTCGAGAGCCAGAGCACTTTGTGCACCGACTGCCTCACTGGAGGATTACCGCGCTCTGTCAAAGCAGCAGACGAATACGTCACTTCGTGCAACGATGGAGTGCCTTGCGCCGTTGAAAACGAAAATTGTGGCACTCCGTGCTCAAAACCAGTTGCTGGTTCAAATTCTTGTGTGGTCAAGCGCCTTTGGGCGCCGCCCCGGTCTGAACGCTTCCGC